TGGCTTTCCTTTATGGGCGGCCTCTCCCTGCAACTCCGGCCACCAGGGCTAGTGACTGCGCTGCAGATGACCCTTCCAAACGCTCGGGCCGACCCTCTCCTCTCGGGGCTCCTGCGGGGGCTCGGGGAGGGGGTCCCCACATCTGGGCTGGGGCGTCGCCCTCACGTGCTCGGGCTCCCGCCCGCCAGCCCCGGCGCCCCGCCTGACTCAGCCTTGGGGCCTGTGCAGTAAGCCCTTGCTCGCCTCATGACTCAGTTTCTCCGTTTGCTCACGCGAGCCAACAGCGTGAGGCACCTGAGCGGAATGCAGCGTGCCTCCGACAGTTCCCCGGCGGCGCCCCAAGGGCAGGCATTCACACCGCCCAGGGGACTTCTTCGGGACGTCCCCTCCGCGGACCCGGGGACTGAGCCCGCGCTGCCTGGGGGTGCGGGGACTCCGCCCGGTGCGCGGGCGGGACCCGTGAGGACGCGCCTGGGGCCCGGCCGCGGGGGGCTGCAGGGCAGAGACCGGGGTCTGTGTCCGGGTCCGGGTCGGCGCTCGGCCGGGGTCTGCTGGCCGCCACCTGACGCAATCCGCGGAGCCCTTGCTGTATGCGGGCGCTGGGGAAACCACCCTCGGCGTTGCATCAGTCCTGCCAGCTTTGCCACAGGGCTGGGGCCCAACCAATCGGCGGTCGCGCCGGGTCCGGGGCGGGCTGCTCAGCCACCCACTGAGAGGGCGGCGCGGATAACCGAGAAGCAACATTCGATGGTGATTGGCTAAAGAGGCATTTGCCCCGCCCCAATCGCCGCGGCAGCAGGCCGCGGTGGGCGGGGCAGCCGAGCCGGAGGGTTTAAAGGGCTCCTCTGGTGGGGCCGCTCAGCTGGAGGGGCCGAGCGGTGGCAGGACGCGTGTGTGCATCCGTCGGACCGTCAGTGCCCTCGCCGGAGACCAGCCCCGGAGGCCACCCGGGCCGGTCGCTGTGCCCGGCACCATGAAGCAGGAGTCCGTATCGCAGAGCACCCCGCCCGCCTCGCCGCCGCCCTCGCCACCCCCGGAGCTCTCCGCGCACCGCCCCCAGGACGACGGCCACCCCCCAGCGCTGTGGATTTTCGGCTACGGCTCCCTAGTGTGGAGGCCTGACTTCGCCTACAGTGACAGCCGGGTGGGCTTCGTGCGTGGCTACAGCCGCCGCTTCTGGCAAGGAGACACCTTCCACCGGGGCAGCGACAAGATGGTGAGCATCGGGCCGTGCCCGGGGCTGAGGGGGTGGGGGCGAGGGCACCCTGAAGTGCCCATGCTGCACCCGGCACTGATGGGGGAAGGTGTAGCTTCAAGCAGGTGCCCTGTGGAGGCTGGGTTATGGAGCGGTGAGTCACTACTGGAGCCTGTGAGCAGGTGCTCAGTGACTTGCTGATGCGTCGCCCTGAGGACCAGTCTGGGTCACTGCCCTGTGTCTGTCTTATTCTTCCCCTGCACCCTGCAGAAGTGGGTGCCCGGTGGGCCTCCCTGAAGCTTGGGCCTGCAGGCATGGCAAGTTTCGTTTGATGGCAAGAGGTGATTTCTAACTTGTCTTTTTCAAAATGTTTCTTTCCCTAGCCTGGCCGTGTGGTGACCCTCCTTGAAGACCGAGAGGTAAGTGTCTTGAGTCGTTGCTTTGAAGGCAGAAGGGAAGGGGCAGAAGGGAAGGGGCAGTCTTACAAAAGTCTTCCTTCCCCGAATGTTGGTAAAACCCAGATTTTCACTCAATAGGATCAGGGGCACAGCTGTCAGATATCTAACTAGCTTATAATCCATCTGTGCTGCTTTGCCTTGGAAATCCTGCCTTGGACCTAGAATGGTTGGCTTGTCCTTCTGAAGGGGAATGAGGATCAGGCCTTGATAGCACAGTAGTTCTCTGTTGGACTGCTAACTGCAAGGTCAGCAGTTCAAAACCACCAGGCTGTCCTCCCAAGAAAGGTGTAGTTTTCTTTTCCCATAACGAGTTACAGTCTCGGAAGCCCACAGGGGCAGTTCTGCCCTGCCCTGTAGGGTCACTATGAGTCGGCATGGATTTGAGGGCAGAGTCTGTGGGTTTTGGGTGTTGCTCTATGGAGCATCAGCCCCCAACACACCTCCCTGGCAGTGCACGCACTACCTGTGTTGGGGAGGGGGGGCAGTGAGCCTTCAGCATTGGGTGGGGCCAGCAGGGAGCTGTTCTGACTGACCCCAGGTGTCTGTTTCCTCCTAGGGCTGCACTTGGGGCGTGGCATATGAGGTGCAAGGTGACCAGGTGAGCGAGGCTCTGAAGTACCTGAACATCCGGGAGGCAGTGCTTGGCGGCTATGATACCAAGGAGGTCACGTTCTACCCGCAAGACACCCCTGACCAACCCCTCAAGGCGCTGGCTTACGTGGCCACCCCACAAAACCCGGGCTACCTGGGCCCTGCGCCTGAGGAGGCCATTGCCACGCAGATCCTGGCCTGCCGAGGCTCCTCGGGCCACAACCTAGAGTACCTGCTGCGCCTGGCGGACTTCATGCAGCTGTGTGGGCCTCAGGCACAAGATGAGCACCTGGCAGCCATTGTGGACGCTGTGGGCACCATGCTGCCCTGCTTTTGCCCCACCGAGCAGGCTCTGGCACTGGTCTGAGGTGCCCATGTGGACGTCGGGCTTAGGCCCAGGCCCCCTCGGTGGATGCACACAGACATACTTGATACAGCCGGGGGACGCTGGGAGTGGCAGGACAAGGCTGGGGGAGGGGCTTCTCCCTAAGCCCCACCAGCCTCCCACTCTCCTGCTGGACACGGTCGTACTACTTGAAACTTAATTTATTGCACCACGTTGGTGTGTTGGGCAAGGTGGGGGGCCTCCCCTGGATGCTGGGACCCTGCTGAGCAGTGGCCCCACCCAGACACCCCACCCCCTCTGCCCAGTGCTGCTGCTAACCCCATGACACCCAGTCCGGCCCCATCCTAGGGGACCTTCTGCCTATTCAGACCACCCATCCCTCGCCCCTGAAAATACCACCTCCCTAAGAGCCCAGCCCACTGAGTGATGGGCTGCAGGGAGTATGGAGAGGAGGTCCCCAATAACGGAGGCCCCTGCTCACCCCCAGCTCCCAGGCCTTGCTGGAGCTGATGTCCTGGCACAGCTGTTCCGGCTGGGCAGGGCTCTCAGCCTTTGATGTTGTCTTCCTCCCCCTCTGTCTATTGGTCTAGTCCTTGGAATATCAGCACTACAGACCCTGTCTGTCCCTCTCCCCGACCCCCTGGTCTCCTCCATAAACTGATCTCTCACTATCTTCTTGACTGTGGTTCTTTGGGGCTGGGGGAGTGGGGTGAGGGAGACAGTGAAGCTCTGGAAGGTTCTTGGAAGTTGAAAGGGCCCCCTCGTCCCTGGGAGGAAGCAGCTGAGCAGTCAGGGCAGTCACCTGACCACTCCTGTGGGCACCTTCCATGTGAGCACTGCCCAGGCCTGGGACCCTGCAGCCCGACCCCTCCACCCTCGCCCAGTGAGGTTGTCCCCCTGGCTTCCCTGCTGAGGGAACTTGTGGGTCGGGCGGGTGTGACAATTGCTAGTGCCATGCTGACCATGGAGAGCAGGAAGCTGTGGCCTGGAGGACCCGGTGGTCCTTTGCCTCAAGTACCCAAGCATCCACTGTCACCTCCTGTGCCGAGCAGCCAGGCCTCTTGGTCTGGAAAGAGCTGACCCAGGCCGCGAGGCGAGCAATTCTACTGGAAAGAGCTGCCAGGGTGTCCCTGTGTCCCCTTTGCCTGCTGCTGCTCCCTGCCTCGCCCACGGGGTGTTCCAGATCTCAGCCTGGCCCTGAGCCCCTGGCTGGGACAGTCCCTCGGTGGGCTCAGTCTCTGCTCCTGGGCCCCCAGAGTGGGGTGAGCTTGCAGACTCCAGCCACAGGAGAGCCTGGTCCCTGCACGCCACCGTCAGTTAACCTCTGTGCACGGCCGCTGGTGAGTGGAATGTTGAGGCAGTCGGCGTTCTTGCTGGTCTTGTGACTGGGGCCCTGGATTGGTCTGGGTGTCCCTAGCAGGATCACCTCTGACCAAGTTGGGTGACTCTTGTGTCCAGGAAGGGTGCCATGTTTTGATGTTTTGTTATCTTGGCTGGTGATAGACCCTGTGGAGTCTGGCCAGGTTCTGGGAGCCTACTCAGAGCACTCCACAGGGGAAGGAATGGGTGGCAGGATGCCCTGGGCACGATAGCCTCCTGGACTTCCCAGAGAAGGCTGGCAGCTTGGTCGATGCCCAGACTGGAGACCAGACCGGCTGCTTACTAAACGGGTGGGGAGGGCTGCTGGCCTCATTCAGCAGCAGGTGTTGACTCGGGGCCAGGCACTGTTCTAGGCTCTCGAGTCTGGCAGCACCGCCATCGCTGCCTTAGGGAGGCTCAGAGTCTAGATGCTGGTGGTGACAATTCAGCATGTCATGTATCAGGACCTCAGCACAGAGCCTCTTGGACTGAGGCTGAAGGGAAGTCCAGGGTGGGGGAGGGATGATTAGACATGCGGGGTCTCTGAACAGAGGCAGAGAACTGTGTGTGCCTGTGGGGGAGGCAAGTCAGACCAGCTGGGAATGCACATACAGAGGGGATAGGTGGCCCGAGTTCTGCTGGGCCGAAGAGGTGGCATTCTATCAGTTCTGGGCCAGTGGGAGATTCTCCACAGATTTTGAGCATGGAAGTGACATTAAGATGCAGTCCATTAATAGGGCCCTTCTAGCCACAATCTCTATGCATTGTATTAGAACTTTGCACTCTATGCTGGTAGCTAGAATCCCATGCTGGAGGGAATTCTACGTTAGGCTAACAGGCAGGATTAAGGTGGGGCTAAGTCCTGCTCTTAGTAGATGGTCTGAACCAAGTCACAGCCTTTGCTTTGTTTCCTTGGGGGCATGGTTTGAGATCTCTGTCTCAAGTGACAGAGGCTGAGACCAGAGGCACCAGAGGCTGTGACATGGAGACCAGGGGATGGAGCACGGGAGCCAGGTGGAGACCAGAGACTGAGCAAAGAAACCATGAGACAGAACAGCGGGGCAACGCTGAGACCATGGGGCTGTGAGGCCGAGCAGTGGGTCGGCTCCCTGGTCTACGGAGAAAGAGGCCCAGAGACCACGGGACTGAGAGGCTGAGGACCAGAGAGAGACACGTTTCTGGCTGAGGAGAGGTGCTGCTGGGTACCCATGAATTCTGGAACTCAGCATTGAAGAGTGCTGTGGGGGAAGGGTTGGTGTCAGAGCAGCTAAAGAAGGAGTCAGGGGTCAGATGTGCCCCCTTCCTGTCCTATGAGGACATGCTGAAGAGAAGGGAGCCTGGCTGCGGGGTGGGGTAGAGGAGGCTCAAAGGTGAGTTGGGGAGAGGGGAAGGTGGCTTGCGCTGAGCGAAGGTGGGCTTCTGGAATTGGAGCAGAAACTCCCAGATTTGGTGGCTGGTTGGATGAAGGGAGGGAGGGGAATGGCAGAAGTCATAGACCTGGTGGATACCTGTGTTGGTGGGTTCCCTGGTGGCCCCCATATGTGGGATAGGAACATTCAGGGGTGTTTACAAGGGGGTGCTGGCCAGGACAGGAGACCCAGCATGTAGGGAGGACTGAGATTGCCTGTATCTAAGGCCCAAGTTGAGGATACAGCCCTAAAGGTGTTTTGTTTTTTTTAAAGATCATTTTATTGGGGGCTCTTACAGCTCTTATAACAATCCATACAGCCATTGTATTAAGCCTATTTGTACATAGGTTGCCATCATCATTTTCTAAACATTTACTTTCTATGTGAGCCCTTGGTATCAGCTCCTCTATTCCCCCCCTCCTGCCCTTGACCCCTTGATAAATTATATTATTATTTTCATATCTTATATTAGCCGCTGTCTCCTGTCACCCACATTTCTGTTGTTTGTCTCCCTGGGGGGTAGGGTATATGTCGATCATTGCAATCGGTTCCCCCTTCCTCCCTACCCTCCTGGTATTGCTACTTCCATTTCTGTTCCTGAGGGGTTTATCTGACCTGGATTCTGTGTACAACCAGGTCTAGCCAGAACTGAAAGGCAGGACTGGGGTCATGATAGTGGGGGATAAGGAAGCCTCAAGGAACCAGAGGAATATTGTGTGTTTCATGGGTGCTGTACTGCGCCCTGGTTGACTCACCCCTTCCCTGTGACCCCTCGGTGAGGGGATGTCCCATTGTCTTGAGTCTCTGCTCTGAACACCTTGTTCTCAACATGTTTGTTTGTTTGGGATCTACTGGTTCTAGTGCCTGTTACCTGATTCTGTGGACATGTCAAGGCAGGGAGGGAACCTGGCGAGGGACCAGAGGGTCAGGATCAGATGGTCCTAGAAGGGGAGCGTACCATACTCTCATGCTGCTGGGAGGTCAACTGAAATATGAGCCAGGAGTATCCATCGGCAGAAATGCCAAGAGTCCTCCGGGCCTCAGCAGAACAATTACAGGGGTAATGGTGAGGCGGGCACAATGCTGGCTCAGGGGCCACTGGAGCAGCAGTAGGTAGCTCTCAATCTAGCACCATTAAAACTGGGAAATTTAAAAAGTATTTTACATTTGAATACATGTAAAAAAGCAATAAATCCCACCACACCGAGGCAAAAACACTAAGGGTGTGCAAAAGAACAGCAAAGGGAGCAGAGTAAGGAAGTCCTGAGGGAATGCCAAAAATAGACTTTGGGGCCAGGGCTTGGCACCTCATCAGACTCGACCGGAAAACACCCCTAAAGGTCAAGAAATAGAACTTGAACTATTTACAGGCTTTTCTATTTTTTTGTCATTGTTTTGTTGGTTTTTTTTTTTTGGTTTCCTTGTTTTGCTTTGTCTTGTTTTTGTGCATATTATTTTCTCTGCAGGTCTATCTAGATAAGATAGTCTGGATAAACAATCTGGAGGAGAAACCAATAAAACAACAGGACTGACAGTTCTGGGGGGACATGGGAGAGAGAGGGGAAAGGAAGTGGTATTAATAAACCCAGGGACTGCCAGGCTATCAAAAGATATAGCATCTGGGGTCTTAAAAGCTTGAAGGTAAACAAGCAGCTATCTAGCTCAGAAGCAACCAAGTCTACATAGAAGAAGCACATCAGCCTGTGTGATCAGGAGGTGCCGAAAGGATCAGTGTCAGGCATCAAAGAACAAAAAATCATATCATTGTGTGCTCACCTCCATGATA